ATCCTCTTTACATTATCCTTCCCCTGCGATGGCGAGTGAGGTTGCTGCTGCAGCGCTGCGGTCAGCTGTTACCGCGGCGGGCGGGCGGGTGGTGGTGGTGCCGTAGCCTGAGCTGGACCGCGGTGAGGCGAGCCGCACAGCAGCCGCGAGAGCACACACAATATCTTGTGCCGTTGTGTGGCTGTAATGTTACGTATCGCTCGCCGTTTCGACGGCTTCGTGTGTGTTCTCGTAGTGTGTGTGTGTGTGTAGGGGGTGGGGGGACGGTACGTGTGGGAAAAATGTCTGGCCGTGTCGAAAAGTTTGCCGGCCTCAGCCGCTCAGCCGCCGGCGGGCGGCCTACCACACCTGTCCTGCCCTGCCCGTGCCCGACTGCCCGACCCGCAGAGGGGGTGCTAGTGAGGTGGGGGGGCGTTGCTAAACAACCGCTGTGGAAGAAGACTCGGTCTATGACGGCGCCTCTGCCCATCATTGTGAGGCTGACATGGACGTTGTGGCGCCCATCCGGGACGGGCCCAATGGGCGAAGGAGGAGGAGGAAAGAGGGGGGGGGGGCGCAGAATGTGTGTCCACGAGCGCATCCTGTTTCTCTCCATTTCAGTGCCACTGAAAATCGTTGCACTTCTGCCAGCTTCTTGAGGAGCTTTTGGGGTTGCGTCCTAGCAGTCCTAGACACACATCCGGACCAGGTGTGTCCGGACTACTCCAGAATCCAAGCCTGCCTGGCCCCATTCCATATTCCTCCCTCATGCACCGGCATCGTGCATGCATACGCCAGCCCCGGGAACGGATCAGCCGGAAGTCACTACAGCACTTTAATTTTAGGACCCTTAATCAATTCCGACTTGATGTTTTTGGTATGACGTCATGTGGGCCATTTCGTGCTACTATTCCGAGGACGTGTGCCTCCCGCGGCGCTGTCGGCCCCTCCGCGCGTCGAGGTCCCCGGGTGGCGCGGCGGCGCGTCCCTGAGGATGGGCGGCCTGCCTCTACACCACTTCACTTGCCATTCTCCTGGCAGAGGCGAGCGAGCTGTACTAGCACGCTCCATACTCCGTCCAGAAATCATATCGCAGTGTCCACTGCATTCTAAAAAAAATAATGTAAAAAATCTTAAAGAACACGAATTTTAAAGTAATGTAGAAAACAAATTTCTCTCTTAAATTTAGAAACAAATGTCTGAAAAGATAAAACTGTTTGTCTCTTCTTCCAGCTGAACGAAACTCTGAAAAATGTTCAGTTCACTTTCCTACGGACACATCTTAACACATCAGTGTATACCGTATTCCATTTAAGTTTGCGTTTTAAGTTGCGTCCAATGTCGTTTATCGATAAAGCAGCTATCATCTTTCTCGCTGCTCTTTTTGCACGACCGTGCTCTACTATATTTGCACCCTCCACCCTCCTGCTGTGCGGCTGTGGGGAGCACCTGGCAGGAAGTCGGGGGGAGGGGGGGGGTCTGTGTTGCGGTGTGGGTCAGGTCACGATGCGCCCCGCCCCCGGCTGCTGCCGCTGCCACCGCCGCTCGCTGCTTCAACCGGTCGCGCTCCGCGCCAAACAAGTGGAAGAGGATGAATCGTCAGAAATCCCATAGGATTGATTGTCGAGTAGAAAAAGCGGGAGTGGCCTATTTGAGCACTTTCCCCCTTGTTTGACCCCGGCGAGGCCCCGGCGGCGTGGCCCGTCCCGCGAGCCCCGCGAGTGGCACTGAGTTATCCCGCGCCTTTGCACCTGGCGGCCCGCCGCCGGACACGCCCCCCTCCGCGGTGGCGCTTAGTCGCGATGATGGCTTATCGATAGGCGTCTTCCAATAGAAGCAGCAGCAGCGGCCTCGCCATAACTTTTCTTCAAACACCCACATAAAATGGCAATTCATGTATTTGAACACGCGGAACAGCGCGCCGCGGCCCCTTGATGCAGAGGGGGCTGCACGCCGGCCTTCAGCGCCGTTTGTTTATTATTTGTAGTCTTCTTAGCGAGCGGTACCGATTTCTCCACGTCACCTGCTGGACGCTGCCGGCTCCCCGCCCCTCCTGCGCCTGTCCTTGGCATTCCCTGGCGACTATCGCGTTATTATCTCTCTTGGGTGTAACGGCACACGGCCGCGGCGACTCTCACAGCCCCGCGCCGCGCCGCCGCCTGACTATGGCGTCTCCCTATGCGGCCCGCGAGGCCCCGGCAAATCCACCTGACACGCCTTGTGCTTCATGCGTTTATAGTGTGATTAATCGGGGGGGGTCGGCCGCTGCCTCCGGGGTCACGTGACGTCACTCGCGTGTCTGATTGCTGAGCCAGGCCCTAATGTCGCGCACCTGAGAGGCTTCGTGCGAAAACCCGCCACTTTGATTCCTTCCTGACGTTATATAAAAAGGCAAACTCGGGCAAACTCTATGAAACAGCTGTTCCGTTCCACGAGCGCCCACAAAGAGAGAGGGAATGACAGTAAACGACAACAAAAACGCATTTTATTTGGGTCATTGGTATACACAATCCCGCTCGCGCACGACCTTAAGCGAATGAATGAAATAATGGATGAATGACTGGACCGAAACGGATCTCAATGGATTGGCGCGTGAGCGCGCGGGGTGCATATAATACCCGCGCCGCGCTGCCCGCTCTCATTGGCAGCCCGCTGCAGCGAGTACCTCGGCGAGTACCTCGGCCGTCGGTAACCATCAGGAGCACACATCAATCAAGGCGCTCGGACGCCCCTTCCCGCTGCCGCCACGACTCTTTGACACGGAACACAGATTGACAGCTGATGGCGGATGCCTCGTCAAGTTAAAGGGACAGCGGCGCGGTAGAGGCGGTCGATTTGGCGCGAGTGCAGCCTGCCTGGATTAAGTACCTCACGCGCGCACACGCGGATGTGTGAGGTGAGGTACCTCAGCACCTGGAGGGTACACGCTCCAACAGGATTTCTCGCGGTGCCCCTCGAGCGCCAGGTGGCGCCCCGGAGTAGCCGCACTTTGTAAACAAGCGGGCGTGGCCACGCTCTTGGCAAGCGCCGCACCTGTTTTGCAGTAATTGAGCCGGTGGTGCCGGTGAGCGGGTGGGCGAGCGCGAGCGGGCCGGGTGCGCTGGCGTGCCGTGCGATACTGACCCGCGAGAGATCGATGTGACACTTCGATTATTGAGACATCGAGGAGAGGTCCCCTGATACAGGAACCTGCGCGTGTAAACTCTATTCTAGTATTTTCTTTCTTACAATGCTAATGTGTTTGAAGGGCACCCCCTACAGTACCTCGACTTCGTAACGATTTTATCATATTATCTGCGGATACTTTTTTCGTCTTTTTGCGAGCTTGATCAAGACGCTAGTGACGCCAGTAATTAACTTATTGGCACGCGTGCCAAGCAGTGCGGGGACCTCAAAGCTGCCTGAACTTTTCCTTAGATTTCAATCAGACGCGGGGAGCGAGAGGTAGAAGGAGCGAACTGCAGGTAAACAAATACGCCGCAGTCCTCCTCCTGACCCGCTCGCCCGGCCCCGGCCCCCGGCCTTGCCGCGGCTCTGCGCTCTGCCCATAACGAGCGCGGACTCTCTGAGATTGGGCTCGGCTCATCCAGATGAAGCTGTTATCCGCCCCCTTCCCTCGCCCCCCGCCGCCCTGGCCGGCCCCCCTGCTGCCCTGCGGGCTGCTCGTGCATGGCGTCATTCGCGACTCCCGATGATCGCCCCTGCCGGCCCTGCGCTGCTGCGGCGGACGCAGCGAGCGGTCCGCGTCCCCGGCCCGCTCCAGCACCGCGGCGGCGACCATAGAGGCGAAAATGATGTGTCTATCGGCGACAGATGAATGCAAATGTGAATGTTGCGTCAGCGCCTCCCCGCTTTGCGGTCTGCGCCGCGGTCGCCCCGCGGTCCCAAAGCCAAGGAATGGGGGACCGCGAGGAGTTAAGGACACGGCACAATTTTCACTTTCCCTCAGTAAAAGACAAGGACGATGTTGTTGGAAAAGGATCTAATTCGAGGACGTTTGCAACATCGTTTTCTGTTTGGCGCGCATACGTGGGTGGGGAGAGGGAGGGAGCCTGCGGGATCATTGTAGCGACTGTGACGGTGATCGTATCAGCAGCAGCGCATGACGAGAACACAGACGTGATATGAGGACCCAAACGATGTGATGGATTTCTCGGGGGAGTAAGGTGTTCGGAGCCGAGGCGGCTGCTGTCTATGTGCGCGATGATGGGTTCTTTCCAAGGCGACGCCACCACACCGACACCCTCCGTTGCGAATAGCGCGCGGGCCCGGCATTGTTATTGGCGCTGCAGCGTCATGTGAGAGGATGGGCAGCGGCCGGAGCTGGGCCGGAGCAACGGTGTGTGTTCTAGGAAAGGACTTGGGGCCATGGGCCGCGAACAAACACATCATGCTCGGTAATACGTCTCGCTGCGCAGGCTGCGCATGCGCGGTGAAAGTTCAAACGACACACAACGCGCGCCGAGCCACCCGCGGCCGCGCAAGACTGTTGGCACGAAGTTGTGTCCCTTGCAGCTCGACGCCACGACGCCTCGCCGCCGGATAGAGCTGCTCCACCTCCCTCTCGGAGGGCCCCGAGCTGCACGACGAGACCACCTACCGCTGCGCACGCACCTGCCGCGCATGGCAGCTGCCGCCGGCCGACACCTGTCGTGATGTGGCCGGCGCGCCGCTCCCGGGGCGTCGGCCGATGATGGTGACGCCCCGCCGATGGCGACGACTGTGCGCCGGGTGAAGCAGGAGGCCCGGCTCAGGCGCAGCGGCGCCGGCGGCAACGGCTACTGCGTCCAGAGCGGCGCCCTTAACGGCGGCCTCAACGGCTACGTCAACGGCGGCTACAGCGGCGGCCCCACGCACGCAACCCTCCCGCGTAGGATGCCGCCAGGTGTGTGTTGGGCGCGAGGGGGAGGAACGCGACCGAGGCTCGCCCACGACGACGACGAGGAGGAGGATGTCAACGCCGTAGATGTGGCATGTGGCTAAGGTTTCTAACGCGGCACCTGTCCGTTTCTCTGTTGCAGCCGAGGCCGAAGGTTATGGGCCGTACAAGCCGGTGCCGCCGCCCAAGCCCCTGCCCGCCAGCAGCGCCCAGGCCTCGCCGCCGCCCTACCGCCTGCCGCCGGGCCTGTCCCTGCCCGGCCTGTCCCCGGGACTGTCCTCCGGGCTGCCCGGGACAGCCACGGACAGCGTCGATCTGGGGCAGGAGCCGCTGACGCCGTCGCCGCGCCTGCTGCACACCCACTCCAGCAAGTTCCCGGTGAGTGCCGCTCTGGGCCGCTCCTCCTCGCGCTCATGACGCCCCATCGCGTGCTGAAAAAGCCGCGGGTAATCTCGCGGGCTGTGGGCCGCCGCCGCGCCGCCCGTTTGAGGCTCTCCCAGACCGTGCTCAAGGTTTTTTTGTCGCCCCCCTCGTCGGCCGCATGGCGTCGTTTTGCTAGGAATGCCTCGATGGTTACCGTTATGGGATTGTGAACTCAATTTTGCCGCGCGCGATGCGCCTGCCTCCGCGGGGCGTGGCAGGGCCGGCGGGGCTGCGGGGGCGTGGCGAGCGCGCGGCTCTCGCGGGTACCTCTGTCAACGCCGCACCGCTACTCCCCGCCCCGCCGCGCCCGCCGCGCCCCGCCCCGCCGAGCGGAGGCAGGAGATGAGACGCTCATCGGAAGCGGAAGCTGGGACAGCGGTACGGTGCAGCGCCAAGCGCAGCGCCACCTCCTTGGCTGGGTCTGGGCGGCCCCCGTATTAGGGTCAGTAGTTCTAAAACGGCAGTTGGTAAGATAGCGCACCGGTGCCGGTGTTTCAAGGTTCTAATACAATTTTTTCCTTTCCTCTCCACGCCCAATTGGAGTGGAAAGGGGTTTGACCTCTGTCCCTTCTGGATATTTACGTTGCCATTGTCAGTTTCATCAGTCTCATTTAATTTATAAGGTCCTGAAGCGTGTAAAAATATATTTTCAAAAAAACGGAAAATTGAGTCTAATCCCGGAAAAGCCAGGAGAGTCATTCAACAGACGCCCAGGCGGGGGCACCGGGCGGGTCTTGATGTCGTTAACGAGGCTGCAGACGACCGCAGAGACCTGATACGGCCCCACGTGTCTGTCCGAGGCCCTGAGGTGCACCCCCCCCCCCCCCCCCTCCCCCGCTCCGACGGGTACCCCTCTCGGTGGTGGCATCTGGTATTCCGACTGCTGCCGGCACACGGCCGATATATATTCATGGGACGCACCCGGAGACGTTTTTCCGGCTCGAGGTGTTCTGTGGAGCCGCCGGACTAATCCGTTGTCTCCCGCGGG